AGGATGATTCTAAATCGAAGTATGGTCCGCCACTGCAATGCTAGCATAGCAGTTTGTTCTTCAAATTTCTTTCCATGTAGTGTACGCAATGATCCTGTGAATTCACATTATAGATTTTCAATTGATGGCGAAGCCATTATGTAGAATTGGGCGTGGGATCTGATAACGCAAATATTATTTGGAATAAGTCAATGGGTTCCACGGAAATATTCTTCGTAATTACCGCAAATTAAGCCTAAACTTATGACAGCGTACCCAGTCACGCTATGAGTAGATCTGTAAACAAATCGGCAGAGTTGATATCTTTTCAATTATTAAAAGAGAGTATAAAGAACAATGTGAAAAACGCAAATGCATTCATAAGTGTAAATCTATTGAAAGAAAAATTGAATATCAAACCAAACTCAATCATAAAACAATAGAAATCTATAGAAAAAAATATTTTTTTTAATGGACAAGAATGGGAAATTATATAATCAATAGAGTTAAAACCATGAGAAGATAATGGTAGTTGATGAAGAACAAGAAATAAAGTATACCATTGGCTGAAGATTGTTCCGATTGCATGGATAATAATCGTCTTATCGGTGTGGTGTTACGTCAGCAAACGTATCGCATATTTCCATAAAAATTAATGATTTAATTAATTAGAAAAAAAAAAAATTAACAGCAATTGAAATAAACAGAACAAGGAGTAATATCGGCCGAAATTCCGTATTTGAACCAACTCTAAATTTTGTCTAAATAAGGAAAAATAAATGAGTCATTACAAAATAATGATCATGTGATTAGGTGTAATGGTTGAAATTGTCTCTAAGTACGTTATGACTAGGAGGATTGGGTGTCCGTACCTGGTGCATCGACATCGTGCGATGGCTTTATTATCACATCTTAATCCGTATACATACATGGATCAAAACAATTTGAAAAGCGAAGTTAAACGGGTTGCACGCAAGTACCTAAAGTTAGTTACTACTTAGCCAGTTAGTTGGTCGGTTGTGACTACTTACATTGTTAGTAGTCAGGATCGAGAAGTATTGTGAGTAATAACGAGCATGTAGTCAGTCCTCGTCAGTCGTAGCCATCAATAGTAGTAATCAAGAAAGAGTCCGTTAGTACGAACAGTTCCGAATTGCGTGGTTTCCTTCGGGCTTCAATTCCGCGAATTTATAAAAGTTCAAACCAATAAAATTGTGTGACATATAATTTATCATTAATCAGAAATGGGGTGATTTAATTTTTGAAACACTTGACTGATAAACACTTGATTGGTGTAGAAAATCAACAAAGGAGCAAAATTCACCGAATTTGGATTACAGCAAGGGAAACTGCGGAAAAATTGGATGACTTAAATTCTGTTTACTTATTAAATTTTTTTTCTTCATACATAAAAATGTAAATTCGAAAAAAAATGCGATTTTCAACACATTACCTCGAAATCGAAATTTGAGTCGTGGAAAAATAGCAGAAAATTTGTTTAATCAGATAAATTTTACTTTAATAATTGAATAAAATTGAAATTGTATATTCGATTTTTTTAATTCCCATGTTATTTTAGCAGTTCGCCCTACTCCGGTCCCAAATTGTCTCCGAAAGGTAGGCTTCAGGCAGGCGAAATTAATACTCACAGTTTTGCATTATTTATTTGATAATTTATGGATAATTATTATGGAATATTCAATGGAAAAAATGACGTAACACAAACTTATATAACTTAAGAAATTTAATAAAATTCCAATGCAATTATCGAGCGAGTCCTATAATATTTCCCGTTGAATGGTTTTCATATGTGCTATCAAAGCAAAAAAGTAGACTAAACACATATTCTTGAAGAATTTCTCTTGAAAATCTTGAAAATTATTCTTGGCAGATTTAAATGGTCTTTTTCCAATAGTCTTAGTCCAAAACATGTCAAATCAAGAGTGGGGAAACTTACATGCCTAAAGTTCTCACGAATTTTAGAGGGAATATTTTAAGAGTATTGCAAGCTGCCGACAATTTTGTATTTATATGAAATCATAAGAGGTTAAGTTCATAATTTGAAATGCTGAATCGTATGGTTTGGAATAGTCCCCAATCTTTCTAGAAAAATGGACAGTCCAGGGCCTGGTGAATGAATATATCTCATTCTAGACATTCAATCGAGTGTTACAAATTATTGATTTCTTCCAGCCTATACCGGATCCTATATTTTTTACGAAATTTTGAAAAACGAATGGAAATGGTGGCTTTTGGATGAAATGTTGGAAATCGAACAAATAGTGAAAACTTTACAAACATTTTAAGAATTAGTGAAAATTGTCAATTTCTGTAGAATTTGGGAAATTATAGAGATTTGATGGCATACTTTATTTTGTAAATGAAGATGCACCAGATACCGGGAAGCTATATCTATAATTGCGATCTGAAATTTGCTAAAAAATGGCAAAAATGGTTTTAGCTCGGAAGGACAAGAGCCTGATGAAAGAAATGTATGGTATACCATAAGCCGGTAAGCTACATTTTCGATGAAACAGGGCCTGACCAAGTGGGTTTGAGATTTATCGGACACCTGCAAACCTTAAGTCAAATACATCAGGACCTGATAGATGAAGAGTACGGCACGTTGGGGACCTTCCCTATTATTGAGCATGAATCAGTGCCGCATACATCGTGCATACGGCTTTTCCACGGCCGGCAAGCTTGAGTCCACATGAATGAAGCCTGGGTACGTAGAATATACTTGCAGGAGCCGGCAAGCCAGACTTAGTTCATATTCGTACCTGATTAACCATACCTGACATCAGGCTCCCGGACATCTGTGGCACTCAGCCCTGGCCTGACGTCAATTCAGCCTTATAAATTTTCTATTCGGGTTAGGCTAATAAAATCGGTATTTTAAGTGTTATTGAGTTAGGGATTAGGGGTCGAGTTGTGTCTAATAGGCAAAATGAATGATTACTGCTTTCACGTTTCATATATAATTAATTGAATATCACATGATGCCGGGCGTTGCCTGGCAGTAGACGGACTCTGGCCGAAATCCGGCTGCTAAGCTTGGCCGCATGTTATCATCCCAGACTTCGACTGAATTTGGCGCGGGTTTGCAGACTGAGTAATAGTGAGCCCTAAAGCTGGAGGTCCGGTCGGCAGTCTGGGGACAAGCCTGCCTATTAGTATTATCTTAGCTCGGTGTAGTCATTGTTGCTGTCCTCTTCAAAGAAGCAGAACGATTACATTTTGGATATTTATTTGTTAACATTTATCGTGTAATCTCAGTATGCTTTTAATATTCTGAAGTTACGAAAGCTGTAGTGGGATGCGACTGCACAGTACTGACTCACGACCCCGACTATTGAGAAGTTCTTGATTTCACTTATTAAAATTGGCCATCTTACCATAATGACCCTTATATTATATTATATACTGTCCCTTTTGTACAGTTCCCAGATTATGCGCAATTTTATATCATGGCCATAGCAATTAAGGGGCGTATGCAGAATACATATATTTTTTTCTGTTTAATCTAAAGAGAAATTCGCTAAAAAATATAAATAAACACATTTCGCTGAATATCAACAAGCCGAAAAATAATTTTCAGAAAATCTGTATTCTCCGCTTGTAACTTAATATTTTCCCAACTATGAATATTTGGTCACAAAGCTGCCTACAATTGGGGTCTCGATAATTGGACGTGTTCTAGTCGTCCCCGATTGGCAATTTCCATCAGGTCCAGATCAGGATTTGATCGGGTCAGGTCTGATGATAGTTCAGGATCTGATATGGTAACTGGATCAAATCCTAATCAGTCATGAAACATAATTTTTTAATCAAGACTTGATCAGGTCAACCAGTTCAGGATTTGCTCAACTCAACCTTATTTAAGTTGGATGATGCGAATAAACAATAATTATTGGCAGAAAACAAAAAATAATGTAATGTTATCACTACTGTTTATCTACTTTAATACATCCCGTTCATTATTAATGATGAAAAACACTTATCATTTTTCCGGTGCTGGGACTCGAACATGCAATGTTCCCATTACCAGTCTTATGTCCGGCCCACTAGGCTACCGATCAAATCAGCTTGATGAAAAATGATTTGAATAATATAATAATAAATAATAATAATAATATAATACTAATGAAAAAATCGAAGTTTCTGAACCACTTTCCTCTTCAAAATAATTTCCTTGTAAGTTTAATACGTCTACACATATTTGCAAAAAACTTGAATAAAGTATATTGTATACTTTATTCATAATGGTATTACGTTTTCCCTTCCCATATATTTAACGTAGTCTGTAATTTTCACGAACCGGACGACTAGATCCAAACTTGACCAGGTTCTCATCAGGAATCATCTGATCAGACTAAGCTCAGACTGATTGAATGAGAACCTGACCTGGTTCTACATGCACTATTTCTATTTCAATGAACTGGATCAAAACTTGATGAGTTTCTCGTTAAGAATGGCCTAATCAGACTTAGACCAAGCTGATCAGGTGAAAACCTGATCGTAATCTACCTTAGATAATTGGGATGAGAATAACTCGATCAACACTTGATCAGTTTTTCATCAGGCCTTGCCTGATCAGACTAAGATCAAGGGGATCAGATCAAAACATGATCCTAATCCATCTTAGGTAATTCGGATCAGAGTGACTTGATCAGTTTTTCATGGAGTTATTCAAATGGAGTAAGCACCCAAAATCAGTTTTGCGGGAAGTCTTACAGAAACTCTACGTGATTCGAATAGAATTACACTACGTTTTTTTTAGCAATTTCGCCAGTTACTCTATTGAATTGTTTGACACGTATGACGTATGACTATTGATAACAATTTCCATCCTATACACCTAAAAGTATTGCCGCCAATTCTTACCGGTAGAAAGATGTTTATCTAATTATGAAGAGGTGAGTTATCATTTAACTACATCTTCCTTTCGTCTTCACTCTCATATATCTCTTCCTTTCAAAGGTTGCGAATTCATTTTTCAAAAAGCGTTCCATTTGAGATGCGTATTTAGTGTAACATTTATTAATTCTTTACTATTTACATCAATATTTACATAACTTCCTAAGTACATTTAATGAGATCATCAATGGATGTTATATACACGTTTACAAAATTAGTACTAAACGGTAAACAGTCTTCATCCACTCCTATTCACTTAACGTATTTGCTATGATATGACATTCATGCTGAAGGGGTACTGGAATTCGTAAAAAAAATCATAAATCCATTTAATTATGCAATTGAAAATTAAATTTGTACGTTAATTCTCAAAGAATTTTTGAATAACAAGAAGTCCTTTCGTAGTTCCGTAATTAGTGCACCCACTTCGTCAATCCACTCAACCTTGAAATCGGAATTAAAGCATGAGAACAGGTGGCATCTCCTAATTACCAATTACCATCATACAGAGGAATAATTTGTAGTATTCTTCAAGGTCAATAGATATAGCGACCCCTTATTTCTGTTAATCACGAAAAAAACGGGGATCAATGGTCTCCAGAGTCTGCAAATGTAACCGAAGAAAAAAAAAATTAATCAGTCATCCCAATGAAGACTACCAGACCCCAAATTGATAACCAGAATAAGAACTATTACATTGTGGTATTTCCTTTTTAATCTCTAATGACCATTCCGCTATCGATCACTTTTGATGTAGCTTGAAACTCGTCAAACTTCTTTTCCTGCAATGAAAAAAATGACGAGAATTAGTTCATTGCACCTTGAGCATACACAACTGTTGATACATGGTATCAATGAAAATATGTAACCCGAAAAGAATTGGCATTGGATGCTTCGCAATCTGGTAATAAACAAGTACTTTGATACGGCGGGTTCATCTTCACTTGTCATCGGTATTCCCGGTTAATGTACGACCCTGTCACATTCACCAGACCAATCATTCAATGAAACTCCCGTAAAATATTTCATAAATTTAAGAACCCACGCGATTGAAATAAAAATCAATAGAAATATGTGGTTTACGTATGCTTCCAATAATAAATCATCTATTTAGTTCTTCAAATTCTTACACTTTCTATAATAAAATTATTCGGTATATTGCGAGACTCAATGATATCTGAAGTACGGTCTCAGACCTTTTCCACACCACCAGAAATTTACATCCGTTTTAAGAAAGTCATGAATCTTTATTTTTTTCTGATCTGATCTGATATGATAAACACAATGCATACTAACTATACTACTTAAAAAAACACTAAAATTCATCGATAATGATACTAAACGCGATTTAAGCAAAAAAAAATTCTGAAAATTCCTGTTTTTCCGGATGTTCAATAAAATTGTAGTTTTAAGGCGCATAAACACCAAAATGTATTAATAGATTTGGATTCTCAATTACATTTTCATTTTAAGAAAAAAGTGTAATGAAAATTTGCAGTCTTGCTTAATTAAAAAGTTTAAACATTCCAACGTTATTTAAATACAATAAAAATTTCAATGTTATACTTATACTACATACCTATTTTTTGACCGTTCGATTAGGCTCTAATCACTTGCAATTTTTGAATCATCTAAGATCCAGTCTCGCTCAGGTCAAACTCATTTACATTTTTTTCAAACTTTCTAAAAAAATGTGTAGTACATCGAGTTAGTTCCTTAAAATTCGCTAACCGTCTAGTGGATTTCGTTTTCCTTCCAAATATAAAACAGGTCATTATATTGATGTAATATAGCTTGAAGAATAATTATCTAAATATTTATAGCATGAATAAAAATGATTAATTATTTTTTTACGGTATGGTATAAATAGTACTTGACTACATTCTTCAAATATTTGGGGAATTATTGTACAGCCCTTTTGCATAAGTAGCGCCGCGTTTTATTTGCAAACAATTTAGATGTATAGAAATCGAATTCTAAAATATGCATCGTAATTGTTAATATACACATTTGCTTCAAAAATTGAAAAAAACCTGTACTAATTAAAAACAGGAGATCTTGCACTTTTGCTAACATTTTAAGTGTTGACCGCACGAACAGAGTAGTGAAACTTTTTTTTACAATCACTACTTATTTCTGCGAATATACAATCAGTCTGTACCACATGAGAAATCTGTCTTGAATAGCCCACGACTCAGATTCGTCATTATCTCAATTTTATTCAAATTTCTTTAACAATTGAAAATGTTTTTGCAAATACTGATTAACAGATATTTTACCCATATCCATAATATTAAGAATGAGCCATAAGAAATTAAATAAAAAACAAACACCATATATACAGGCTATATCCAATTGACTTTATAATTTACCTGAGTACCCGAAACTTTTTTTTCGAATCCGGTTAAACGTCCATTCGCGCAATTTCCTGAGTTTTTAACTTCTTAAACTATTCCAGCAAGCAATTAATTATCAATGAAAAAAGTAATCGTATGAAATACATTTCTGAGAAACGGCTCTTGTATTGGCCACTCGGATGGTGGCCTGCAGAACTGAATAATTTCATTCGTATCCACCAAAGCTCTCAGAAATTATTCCGATAATTTTACGGGTCCCGGGATATTATTCTTAAACATTCGGAGTATTGAATTGAATCGAAATATTACACTGTACAGAATAAATGCAAAATGTGAAGATACATTATTCAGGCATCTGTTAAATATAAATCCACCAACGTCAGAAATCGATTATTCTTATTTTGAAATTAGAATAATTAAAACTGGTCTTGAATGGATTCTGGTTGACTACGTCTAACGTAACTGACCAAATGGAAGTAACCAAAGGATGATTATTACCGTGACTAAATAATTGATTTTTTGAAAATTTAGGCTTCATGATGTAGGCTTGCAGTATGTTTCAAGTTGCGCCACACTGCAAGCACGATAGCAACATTCTTCCACAATTCCGGGTCCTGATGCTTGCCTTATATTTTCCTCGCCACTATATGAAAATGGTTCATTGTAAACACCGTTACAGACTAGCTTCAGAGCATCACTTAGACTTTTTGAGCATCGTTTCTGTTCCATCACTGGTGCTGATTCCACATGTAACGATGCACTCAGCACAAAAAGCAAAACAATGCATAATAAAAACCACCGGTTCATACGGACAGACATTTGCATAGATAATCAATATAGTCAATAAAGTCTTTTTCGATAATTTTTGAAAGTTTTAGGACTCACTGGTGAAGCTTATAATTATCACTACAGATAGAATCTTTAATGCAGCTGGAATAAATGAGTATTCGATAGGAATTGGACTTTGAAATGGTGCTAATGAAGACAGATGTCTGGAAGAACCGACTAATTTTGCAAACCGAATTTTCAATAACCACCTCCCAAACCTCCGGCTTGACCCGGTCTTCTAGTTCTACTAACAGTCGGTCTCGAGGCTCTTCACGCCTTTTCAATACGAGCAAAGAGTGGAGGTGGTTATGAGATAGAGGAGGTGAGTGCTTTTCGATTCAGACAGTACAGATTTGTAATGGTTTCATTATATGAGATAGAATGAGACGCTGCGGAAGTTTGTGAGAAAAGTCGTCGCTGCCACAAGAAATATTAATTTTGAAACCATAGGACGATAGATTCTTTAAACCTATGGAAGAAAAAAATTATTGTATAATTAATCTTTAAGAATTGACTCAACTTTTCTACTTAATATTTCCATGTGTAATAACCAAAAATTATCTGGAAACATCCTGTTTATACGTAACAGTAGGTAATAGCTGTCATTATCCTGTCTACATAAAAATTGAATTTGAACTACAAAATAGTGTGACAATTCTACTCCATCAAAGTTTCATATATATAATTACTAATTTTCTACTAAGAACGTTCTTGGCTAATGTTTTATTTAACTTTTGCACATTTTTACTAATTATGTATTTTTTTAAATTCTATGATCCGATCACCGATACACTGCAAGTTTTCAACCAATATGACTGGGTATATTGTAATATAATTATCGTCTGTTCTGGTTACTTACGTATTTATAAAAAAATGATCCACATATATAACTCAGGGGATAAAGAAGAGGGGAATGTTCCCGTGAGTCACACATCACTCCTCACGAGTTATAATTATTTTGGTCGGCAGTGATAATTCGACCATTAGAATTACGACCATAGTATAGAATAATTGAATATCTGTACACCTCAGATATTTGAATTCAGACAAAGATTATTCAATTCATCTCTGTAAATCACATCAATTGATACATGATAGTCGTCTTACGTGGAATCAATATTTTCATATTTATTATTAGCCCGTGAAATAAAAAGTTTTATGGAAATTCCTTGAAAATTCATAAACATTATAAGTAAGTAATCATTGATATAAAATTGACTCTATGCAAAATAAAATAAATAAGTCGCATAAGCCCATAATAACCACTCAGTTAAACTATACACTCCAAAACAAATAATATCTTGATTCAGAACAGAATTTAGAATTATTGAAACAGCGAAAGAAATACAAAAGGGGCCCACATCTGCCTATTCATCACTTATTTGGTCGTCGTACTTAGAAATTTATTTTCAACATCCATGTTTCAATTACTAGATGAAAAAACACGGATAAAACTGTTGGTGTTTATGTAGTTAACGTGGGGAGGGATAAAACGGGGAAGTTGGTTATCTCGGCGCCTGATGAAGGAAGAAAGCAGGGACTAGACTTCGGACGGACAGTCTACCACGGGCGAACTGAAGAGAGACAAAATATGTGATAAATGACCTCACCAGACACCCGAACGGGGTTAAGTTCGCACATTAGTTTTATTGTGTCATGTTTTTACCAGTCGCCCGACAATAGTTGCCACTTTATTAATTTCACAATCGATGATTTTGTACTATTTTGCCGGTCCTTCCCCTCCCGTCACGTTTTTCGCCAATTTAAGAGAATGCGAAATGAGGTCGAGTCCATAGCATATTCTGGCGCATGGCAACCCCAATTCTCTCTTTAAGCTGTTATCAATATCTTTAAGCTGTTTACATTTTAGATTTATTAGGCTCAATTATTTCACAGTGTTACCATTTTATGCATTTTTATGGAGAATTCAGAATGCGCGATGGACTCTTGTTGTACTACCTTCAAGGAGATTAATGAACAGATTCGATCAAATAATGACATGACATTTTTAGACTTGGTAAGAAACATAGATGCTCATAATTATACCATAAAATAATGGAATGTCATATGGTCGAGCAAATTTGGTGCATCTTTTTTTCATTCTTTCCTAAAAGATTACTTCACTCTCAATATGACGAGCGATGTGATGATATGTTGAAAAATGTTAAAATATATGAAATTAAATCCGACCTGCAGGGAAATTGTCTTAACAAGTACCAATGCTTCGAATATTCTTGCAATATTTCAAAATATGTCATTATAAAACATCTAATGTCATATTGCGACAGTCTCACGTGTGAAAAAAATTTGCACCAGAATCTTCTAGCAAACTGGAGTAAGAGTACTCACTCCATCAGAGGCAACTCGCGGCTTCATTCATCTCGTCGATCCTCCCTCACTGTCCTTGTTTGCTTCTCAATCCTTTCCTTGATACTTCCCCAGGCCCCATTCTTTCCCACAATCTTGGGTCTACAATCTACACCACTCTTCATCTACACTCCCATTTCTTCAGTTACTTCTCTTATTTCTTTGCTATAAATTATCAATTCTTATCGGGGTACCCGAAATATGAACGATGGCAACAACTAATTCTCACTCCTTCCTTTTCCTTCCTCGTTTTTTTTCCAGTTTAATTCGAATCCCACTGAGTCGATTGGCCCACCCCTGTAAAGACTTTTTTTGTTACGCCGTCGGCCATCTCGAGAGGGTTAGTGAGGGTAAAACAAAAAAGGTCGAAATTTATGGGTACAGATCGACTAAGAATTATCCTCTTAGTGGATTTTCCCACCCCGGTAAGGACTTTTTTTTCACCCCGTCGGCCATTTCAAGAGGGTTAGTGAAGGTGAAAAAAAAACGTCGAAATTTATAGGTACAGATCGGCTCAGAATCATCCCCTGAGTCGATTTGCCCACCCCTGTAAAGACTTTTTTTGTTACGCCGTCGGCCATCTCAAGAGGGTGAGTGAGGGAAGAAAAAAAAAGTCGAAATTTATAGGTACAGATCGACTCAGAATCATCCCCTGAGTCGATTTTCCGACCCTGTAAAAACTTTT